GATTCTGACACTTATTAAAAAGTATTAAATAAAGTCAAGATATAACTTGTTGACCCATGTGACTCGATTTTAAAATTACGGTAGTTAAATATAAAATACGACATTGAATTTCAACGGTCAGAAGATACTCCATGTGTGACATTCGGTTTTTAAGTAAATGAGAGCCATAAGTTGATGTAACTTATTATATGTTACGTTGAAATTCAATGTCGTATTTTATATTTAACTACCGTAATTTTAAAATCGAGTCACATGGGTCAACAAGTTATATCTTGACTTTATTTAATACTTTTTAATAAGTGTCAGAATCATCGTGGCTGTAGTAATAAGTTATTTTTGTAATTATCAGCTTTATATTATTAAAGAATAATGAATATTATAAATATCCATAAATGAATATAAACTTAATTTTTATTATATATATTTTTCTAAAAAGAAATTATTTAAATAAGGCATATAACTAACTAATGTTAAGTATAGCTAGTGATTAATTTGCTTTATTGACAATTATAAAACTTTTAAAATAAATAAATCAATTGCCAGAACAAATAAAACTGAAGTAACTCAAAATTATCAATCAAATATTACCCAATATTTACTTTAATTATGCTATTTTTTTTAAACTAAACTTGAAACTGACTTGAAATTTGAAACTATTTTGTTTTAATAAGCTAATTACATAATAATGACAATTAAATAATAAACCTGACCAATTAATTACTCTTTTATTCTATATATTAGTTATAAAATGGATGCTATAATTTACAACATATATTACAAATACAAGGATTTAAAATAAATAAAGGATTACTAAATATAACGTATAATGTTGTAAATTGTCATAAATTATTGACAAACGTATTTTGATACAGTACTAGCTTATTGGATAATATGTGCAATGTGATGTCAAATGTTAGTACAAAAACAAGTCAATAAATTAAAATAAGTTTTAATTGTCACGTACAGCTGATCCTTATATATAATTCACTCCAGTAAAAAGTACTAGCTTATTGGATAATATGTGCAATGTGATGTCAAATGTTAGTACAAAAACAAGTCAATAAATTAAAATAAGTTTTAATTGTCACGTACAGCTGATCCTTATATATAATTCACTCCAGTAAACGATTGTAATCTAAAGCACACCCTGCTCATAAATATAATTGTAGACTTTGTAAGCAATGTCCTACCTTTGGTTAGTAATTTAATTTCAAGTACAGCACAATACTGTACATTATGTACATTATATAGATTCCGTACAGAATTTCTTTATCATAAGAATACGTACGATCGTAAAATCCCTTATTCATTTATAATGACCTTGATACAGATAAAGATTTGTAAATTATTAGCAATCTTGAGTCAATAAAATGTTATAATTGATTTATTTGTGGCAATTTCTTATGTTTTATAATTCACATATTGAAATAATACCATATATTATGTTTTATGAATTCTCTCTAATCTCATCAATTTAGGGAACATTTAGTTCTTTCTCATTATTAACTTATAATCCATTAATCCTTTACAATATATTTCTTAATCATTGCGAAAACTATACAAATTCTTATAAAATCTAATACAAGTTTAAATACATGAGTGGGAGTGAGTGAGAGAGAGAGAGAGAGAGAGAGAGAGAGCAAAGGAAATTATTTTTAATTTTACTTGAAAATTATTAATTTACTAGTATCTCACTGATTATTCATATAGATAGACAATAATTCTCAAATTTTAAAGTATTCAAGTAAAACAAATAATATTATCTTATAATAAAATCAAAGACAATAAATTCATTAAATATTTACATATTTTGAGTAAAAATCTAAAAAGTTTTAATTTTTATATTATTTACAAACATTTCAATATTTACAAGATTTTGTAGTTAGGACATTTTAATTTTTACTCGAAATACGAAAGTATTTAATGCTATTGTAATAAATGTTTAGTCTCTCAAATATTGGATTATCTCTATTACCTAACATTTTATCAAATTAAGTATTTTATGACTAAATTATTCTACGAAATGATTAAATTAAGGCATTATAAATCAATATTGGCTTTATCGCAAATTGAGATGAGCTGTCTCCCTGGCCATACCTACCAGTGCACACTGACGTTTGACGTGTACACACAATTTACCTCCGTTTTGCAAAATTGGTATAAATATTGGAAACCAAAATGTATTCAAATAGTATTGTGTTTTGTATTTATGCAAAACACTTATTCCGATACTTTGTGAGACACTGAAAACTAGTCATTAAAATGGTATTTTTGCTCAAATCCTTACCGCTATTGTTTGTTTTGCTATCGGCGTTGGACTCGGCGTCGGGTATGACTTATATTTCGAAAACTATTCACTAAATGAATACTAAAATCAAAACTTTATATTTCAGTTGTAGTAAGGAATAGCGGTAACTATAAGGTGGTGTGCTACTGGGGCTCCTGGTCCTACTACAGACCCAATGCTGGCCAAGTAAGTTTATAATACAGTTAGTACAAGTTTACAAGCTAAACCACTTTATACCCTGATAGTTCCAACCCAAGAACATGGACCCCAACCTGTGTACACATATGATGTATGGGTTCGCCAAACTCAATGAGAATACCAACAAAATCGAGGTCTTCGAGGCCGACCTCGACTTAGGCGATGAAGACTACAATAGTGGGCTTCCATGGGGTAGAGGTATGTCATTATAATTACAAGTAATAAACATCTTTCATATAAAATGTGCACTTATTTGGGTCAGGAATGTACCGACACTTCAATGACTTACGGAAAATAAACCCCAATCTGAAGACAATGATATCGATCGGCGGTTGGAATGAGGGTTCGGACAAGTATTCAGTGATGGCGTCCAACCCGTCCTCCCGAGCGGTGTTCGTCCAGTCGTGCGTTGACTTCCTTAAGGAACACAAGTTCGATGGTTTGGATGTGGACTGGTATGTCATACACACCCTTTCCCCTCAATAA